TGTGTTGCTTCTCGTGTGTTGCTTCTCACTTCGCACACAAAGAGGTGACCTTCAGTCTAAGCTATGTTCCCACTTAGACAACATACAAGGGGGTACCCCCCAAAATGGAATTTTTTTTAACAAAGCTATGTACCGCATATACTCATGTATGAGCCGAGTTTTTCAGCACATTTTTAATGCAGTTTTTGTGGTAAAATTAGGGGCCTGGCTGATACTCGGGTTGGCTTATACTTGAGTAGATATGGTATTTATTTTTATAAAACAACCTTATCACCTTCAAAGTATTCTCTATTACACTTAATACATTTGTCAAATCTGAAATTCCATTCTTGGAAACATTTTTCAAACTCATCTGTTTTCAAACTCATCTCTTTATTTTCTTCACCTCTTCTCCATTGTCAAATCACTGCCCTTTCATGTCCCTCTTTTTTCGTGGAAACAAAAAGAAGTGGCCAGAGCGAAGTCAGGTGAGTAAGGTGCACAGGGTAAGAGGCCTGCTGTTTTTTGAGCTGGCTCACTGAGATAGCTGTATAAGCAGGGGCATTGTTGTGGTAGCAAAACCAGTTCCCCATCCTCCACAAATCATGCCTTTTTTGTCACACACTGTTATGCAGTCTTTTTAGAACCTCCAAATAGAAAGCTTGACCTGGTGGAATGAACTCCTAATGCACTATGAGTGGGCATTTTCGTTCATTCGAGAAGTTGACGGATGTCCGAAATGAGGGTTGTCATCAGTGAACATTTCACCTTGTTTGAAATGAGGAAACCACGTGTTCACTTAAGTTTTTCTCATAGCACTGTCTTTGTAAGCTGTGTTCAACATCCCAACAATTTCTGCAGCATTTTTCCCAAGCAGGGAACAAATTTTCACATCAGCATTCTGTTCTCTTCAGTCGGCCATCACAAAACTCGAGGTTCGAGCAAAAACTGCTTTTACGAAAAAATTCACTGTGACCAGAAAAACCTTTCTTACTAGAGTGCCCTAACTCAGAGCAAGTTGCTGGATGCGTGTACTACAAAAGCTCTGCTCTACCCAGCGCAATTATGGTTTT